ATTTAATTTTTTATATTTTCTTTCTTTATTATTATTAATGATAGAACCAATTAATATTTACAACAATATGAATATGAATGATATGATTTATTGGACGGAGTATAAATGACACAACGTAACAAGTCCATGCAATAATTTCTTTGAATGAGGATACTTGCATAAATAAAATATCGCAATTATTCTGCCAAACTTATTGGGGGGCCAGAAATACAAAGCATGCGAATGAAGAAATAATTGACCATATGAATTGTTTTTGGTTTTCTCTCTTTCCTTGTATTATTCATCTTCTGATTAAATGGACGGCTAACACATGGAGAATATCATGTCACACTTTTGGGTTTGATTTTGAGGGTTCTTTGGCTACTATAACTTCAGCATTTTCACATGGAGGAGACAATATCATGTTATTGTACTAATTAAGCTTCTTTTTTCCCCTAAAAAAATAACCAAATTTCTCATCCATTCATATACAAAAAAGATGTTCAATTCTCTTACTATTCATTATATGCATTGTTTCCCCTTTTAGTGAGACATGACAGACGAACCATAGATGTCAATCGACGAACAATTTAGTTTAATTGTTTTAAGAGACCAAGTATATGGCAACTTCAAAAACGTCATAAAAAAGGAAAGCCCGTGGAAAATATATGTTTTCTTAGAAATTTTTGCTTATGTTAAAGACAGTACGTAGTTAGTCGATTCAAATAGCTTGGTTCTTATTTTTTTAAGCAAAGTTTTGAAGTTGACTCTTGTGGATAAAAAAATATCGATAAAGTTTGGTTCTTAAATAATTAGTGCTCTCCTTTTTCATAACTTCCCAAGATAATAATTAACTCTGCGGGACTGGGGCTTTTATATTTATTATAATTAGAAAATCACATGCACACGATTATTTAAAGTGTACTTTTAACCCTCAAACTTTATAAAAGGTTACAGTTTGGTCTTTTAATTTTATAAATTAAAACATTTTTTCTATCCCCTAGCTTCTAACACCACTAATTTTAAATGATTATTTTTTATATAAATTATTTTTACTTTTAAAAATTAAATTTTGATATGTTAACAATTAAAAATATTTTATTAATATTTAAAAGTTTAATATAGGAATTTCTGGTTGACAAAGTCAAAGGGATTAGGGTTAAAAGACTAAAAATATATTTATTAAAAATATAAAAAGTTAAATGATTAAATGTATACTTTAGTTATTGTTTTTTATATAAATTTTTTCATATAAATTAATACATAGGCTAAATTAATCTACCTATGATGGATAAATCCCCAACTCAGAATGAGACGTAAATCAAGCCTAAACAAAAAAATTTCACTCAATTCGACGTGATCAATGGTAGGAGCTCTAGTTATTTCAACATGTGATTGAAATTTGAATCTTATCCCTTATATATGTGACAATTTATTGGAAGGGCTCTATCATTCATCTTCAATATCCTCAAGGAGAAAATTTTCTAACAAAGAAAAAAAAGTCATTTTCCAGAATTAAAAGCATAAAAGGACATGTAACGTAGAATAAAAGCATATCCAACAGATAGCGAAAAATCTAAAGCGGCATATCCAGTGAGACCCACTTTCACATTAGCTTCGTCATATCTTCACAAGTTCTGCAAACACTGTTGTTATACATTGTTAGTAACATTTTTTAGTGTCTGATTCACTAAAAAATAATCTTTTAAATTAAAATTATATTTATCTCTATAATTTTTAAGTTACTAAAATATGTAAAAATATTAAATTTTTTATGATTTCTCAAGCTAGCTAAATTATTCTGTATATGATGATTTATGGATATTTAGTAACGTAACATTTGATATAAGATTTATATTTAATAGTAGGAGTGAGCATTTGATCGGTTTAGTGGATTCGGTTCCAATTTTTCTAAAACCGATTAATTGAATTATATAAAAAATTAGGGTCAAATCGAATCAAAATACATGATCAAATTGAATTAAAATTAAATTGAATTATAATGATTCGATTTGATTATTCTATTCGGTTCATGAGTTTTGATTTAGGTTTATGAAGTCTAATTATTCATATATTTTTCTATCCGATTTTTTTCCTTTAATGTTGAAGGCCCAACAGAAAAAATAATAATTTTATACCATAATTTATGAGAAAATTAATAAAACTCAATATTATTACATTAAAAACTAAATTATAGAAATAAAAAATTAAAAACATCACATTAAACAAAAAAAAAAATATTACCACCGTAAGTAATAGAAAGATGTTTCTTACTCACCTAAATAAAAATTTATTCATATTTTTAAAAATATAAAAAGAATATGTATAATTCAATCTGTTCAATTTATTTAGTTAAAGAATTCTCAAAATTTTACTCACCCTTGTTTAATAGCGACAATGCAGAAACGTACAGATAGAAAACTATTTTCCTATCGTACAAATTAATAACAACAATCCTTCCATTATCACAGGAAAGTCAAAACAAGATCACGTAGTGCTGCTGTGTTCAACCTTTTTGTTTCGTGCCTCTGCCTTCATTGCAAATTGCAATACTCACATCCTTTTGTGTTTGTCTGCATATTTTTCCTTTTCTTTTCGGTTGAAATTAGGGAAATTTTCTTTATAAATTTTGGTAAAATTATATAATGTAAATAGTTTTTTAAAATATAGAAGGAATGAGTGTGTAATTTAAGAAAATTCAAAATTAGTGAAATTCATCTTTTATGTTGGAAGAAGTAGTTTGTTCATATTTAAAAAGTATCAATTGAATAATTACCACGAGGAATTAGTTCTAATAGAAGGACTAGTCTCTTACTATGTGATGAACAATAAGTTAAAAAATTTCTATTGGAAGAGATATATGTATATTTAATGTCTGATTGTGTCTTGAAATTGATTGTCTCAAATAAAAGTACAACTATATAGAATAAAAAGTCAATGTAATTACAGCAAAAATTTTGGAAGATTGTTGCAATTTTAAGTTTACCTTCTTTTGCAGTGATATTGTCCGTCTCTTTTATAATATAAATATAAATAAATAAGAGAATGAGAAAGCAAAATGGTGATCGAAAGTGATGGTTCACAATTTTCAAAAGTTTTATGGATTTGCTTGATTGTCTAAAATCATATCTTATATATATAGTAAAATACAACAAATTTTCTGTTGATACAACAGTGAAATTAATAGTATTGTGGGCTCATCATCATCATTCTTCTTTCTTTTTCAAATTCAATTGTTTTTTTCTACTTTTTTTTTACAATATTTTTTTTGCTATACTTACCTTTTTTGTTTTGTTAAAAAAAAAAGTATGTTTAACAATGACGGCTAACATTTTCAAAATTATTTTATAATAGAAGCTTTTTCATGTTGTAGGATCAAATCAATAAAATAGCCGGACGTTTATTATATTTTGAATTATGATTAATTTATCATATTTGTCAATAATATGCCATTATATATTAAGAACAAATCCCTTGTAAATTTTTAATAATAAACTTTTATATATCAATAATGTATTCCTTGTATATCAATATGAACTAACTATACTCCTAAATTTTTAAAAATTTAATCCATATTTTCTAGATACAAGATTTAGATCTGTTAGCTAATTTATCCTTTATAATATCATATTTTATATACATAGTTTTCAAATTATCTTTTAATTTTTCCAAAGATAATAAGTTCAAAAATAAAAATAAAGTGTTTATATTTTTAGTATGCATGAATATACAAAGTTTTGCAAAAAGGTTTTTTTATTGCTTGCATGTATTCTCTAATTGAAAAAATTATTATTCAAATATGGTTGAATACTAAATATTAACACATCTTATAGAAAGAATTCAAATATTTGTTTAGGAGGCAATTTGTTTTTCCTTACCCATAATTTTACTATCAACGTTATAAGAAAGTATTTTTAATATAATCATACTAAATTATTATTTTGATAGTGCCACCTTTTTTTTTATGATCTTTGGAGCAAAAAAAAAAATCATTTGTAATGGAAATATGTAAAATTATTGCTAACTTTAAAAGAAAATAAACTAGCAGATAAAATATGTCTTTTAAATTAAATATTGTCATGCATATCAACAATAGAAGTCTCAAATTAATTATTAAGTATTATGGAGTTATTTAAAATGTATATTAAAATGATCTAAATTTATAGGGGCGCAAAATCTTAGAACTATAGGCAGCAAATTAAAATAAAAAAAATTAACATTACTTTCATATAATTTTCCTCAAAACAAGGGGTGCATATGTTCATCCCTCGAGTATATGGCTTTTCTGTTGCACCTAAATAATATCTAGAGACAAATCAAAAAAAGAGGGGGGAAAAAGAAATAAGTCAATTTATCTCTGGCTGGCTTTACCATTGCACCTAAATAATATCAAGAAACAAATCAAAAAAAGAGGGGGGAAAACAAACAAATCAAAAAAAAAGGGGGAAAAACAAGAAATAAGTGAACCTAGATATTATTTAGGTGCAATGGTAAAGCCATATACTTGAGGGATGAACATGCACCCCTTGTTTTGGGGAAAATTATATGAAAGTAAAGTTAATTTTTGTATTTTAATTTGCTGCCTCTAGTTATAAGATTTTGCGTCCCTATAAATTTAGATCATTTTTAATATACATTTTAACTAGTTCAATGATACCTGATAATTTATAAGATCATTCCCATGCAATCACATCTCTATAATTTATTAACTCAATAAACTAGAAAAAAAAATTAGTTATGCGAGTCAGAATTTAAATGCTAATTCAATAATTAAAAAAATATAGGAGTTAAAAATTATATTATTCCTTCTAGAAAATCACTTCCAATGAAGTGAAGAAAGAGATAGACACAAAAAATAAGTCCTATTCATGAGCATTTCCTTTCACATGCATTTATTTTGCAGGGGATCAAATTCAAGAATCAAATTCGCCTTGCCACACAACGAAGGTCGAAGATCCTAGAGTGTATATAAACACACACCCATGGCCATATACGTGTGTGAGTGCGTGATGCTCCTCACTACTGTACAGTGAGGTTAAAAGGAGATTAACTTCTCTCTCACAACCCCTCCTTCAATCACTGAATCATAATTCTCATTCTCAGACCATAAATCTGTAGCCGTGCCACCGAACTTCATATCTTCTCATCCACACATGGCTTCTGATTCCCTCCACTCTACTGTCCATCAGCAACCCTCACCAAACCTCACTTCGTTCCCCATCATTTTGAAGGTATATATAATTAAATTAAATTAGCATGCCATTCCCTCACAGATTATTAAACACTACATTATCTTATGTATGGTTTCGGTATATTTTTGCAGTTTGAGGAGGTGGTGTACAAAGTGAAACCAGACCATAGAGGACTGTGTCGGGGAAGAAGTTCATGGAGTTCCACAGAGAAGACGATACTGAACGGAATCACAGGCATGGTATTTCCAGGTGAGATTCTGGCCATGTTGGGCCCTTCGGGAAGTGGCAAAACGACACTTCTCACAGCTCTCGGAGGTCGTTTAATTGGCAGATTATCGGGCAAAATCACCTACAACGACCAACCTTTCTCAGGTTCCATAAAGAGAAGAACAGGCTTCGTGGCTCAGGACGATGTTCTATACCCACACCTCACAGTTTCTGAAACTCTGATCTTCACCGCACTTCTCAGGCTTCCCAACAGCCTCACGAATAACGACAAGATTGCTCACGCCGAGAGAGTCATCACAGAGCTGGGCCTGACACGGTGCAGGAACAGCATCGTCGGAGGGGCATTGATCAGAGGAATATCAGGTGGAGAGAAGAAGCGAGTGAGCATAGGTCAAGAAATGCTAATAAATCCGAGCTTGTTGCTGCTAGACGAGCCCACTTCGGGGTTGGACTCCACGACGGCGCAAAGGATATTGACCACCATCAAAGGGGTGGCGCGTGGCGGAAGGACGGTGGTGACCACCATCCACCAACCGTCGAGCCGGCTGTATCATATGTTTGATAAGGTGGTGGTGCTGTCGGAAGGACGATGTATATATAACGGACCTGCATCGGCGGCCATGGAGTATTTTTCTTCTATCGGCTTCTCCACATCCATCACTCTCAATCCTGCTGACTTCTTGCTCGATCTTGCTAACGGTAATTCTCCTTTTGCTTTGTTTTTTCCCTTTATTTTTTATATGATTATCTGATTAAATCAAACTCCAGTATTAGTGGACCTAACAGGAAGTTTGCAATTTTTCCTTTCATTTTAATTACTTAAAAAGTGAGAGTCCGTGGACGTTTCCCTTAATTTCATTTTCCAACATAAATTTCCTTTATTTTTGAAATTTTTATGAATCTCTCCTAAAAACAAACAATAAATAATTATATGCACTTTCTTGGAGTTATTTCCATATTTAAAATACCACCTTTTTAGCCGTCAGAAAAATTTTGTGTGAAGTTTTAAAATATAAGAAACGTCTGCATAATTTTACTAAAACTGATAAAAAGTTTGCATGATTTATTTTTAAGATAATTTTGTATATATTTTAAAATAGAGATGACGTGTGTGTAATTTTAATAAAATATATTTATATCAATCAATTTTAAAATTAAATAAGATATTCGTATAATTTTTAATTTTTTATAAAAGTAATTTACTCTTTGTCCTCACCAACAGGAGATGTGATTTGGCCTATATAGAGGAAATGAAGTGCTCTAAATTTTCTCTCTAGTCATATACAGTGTAGCCATACCCCGTTTTTACACATGCATCTATTTCCAATAATCTCAGAGAGCATTAGATGTGCCAAGAGGATTATGATGACAATATATTTGGAATATTACAGGGATTGCCCCAGACCCCGAGCATGCAAGCGAACAAAGTGAGGGCCTGGAACAAGAAAGGAAGCTAACCAGAGAAGCTCTCATTTCTGCTTATGACAAGAACATTGCTCCCAAGTTGAAACTTGAGATTTCTAACTCGAGAATGGACATCTACAGCTTCAACAAGCATGCTTCATCTAGTAGGCCTTCCTTATTATTCTTTCAGTGCTACGTACACATTAATTTTTTAATGGTACTGGTCCTAAATAGTTTCTTTCTCCATTGAATTGGTTCAGGAAATGACCCAACAAAAGCAGAGCAATGGTGCACAAGCTGGTGGTATCAGTTCAAGGTGCTGTTACAGAGAGGACTCAAAGAACGAAGGTATGAAGCCTTCAATAGATTGAGAATATTCCAAGTCATAAGTGTGGCTTTTCTTGGTGGACTCTTGTGGTGGCATACCCCAGAATCTCACATTCAAGACAGGGTATGCATTATATATACATGTCACTTCTTTTCCTTGCTTTTCGTGTTTGATGAAAACTGATATGTATACTTTTTCTGGATTGATAATGCAGGTAGCGTTACTGTTTTTCTTCTCAGTTTTCTGGGGATTCTACCCTCTCTACAACGCAGTTTTCACTTTCCCACAAGAGAGAAGAATGCTGATCAAGGAGAGGTCTTCAGGAATGTATCGTCTCTCTTCCTACTTTATGGCAAGAACAATAGGAGACCTGCCATTGGAGCTGGCACTTCCTACTGCATTCGTGTTCATAATCTATTGGATGGGAGGGCTCAAGCCTCATCCCGTGACTTTCATTCTATCACTTCTCGTGGTCCTGTACAGCGTTCTCGTGTCTCAGAGTCTGGGATTGGCATTCGGAGCTATTCTCATGGAGATCAAGCAGGCCACAACCCTAGCTTCTGTCACAACCCTCGTGTTCCTCATTGCTGGAGGCTACTACGTTCAACAGATCCCTCCATTCATAGCTTGGCTCAAGTACTTGAGCTATAGCTATTACTGTTACAAGCTGCTTCTGGGTGTTCAGTACGATGAAGAAGATTATTATGAGTGTTCCAATGGGGTTTTGTGCAGAGTAGAAGATTTCGGTCCCATCAAATCAATGGGTTTGAATCAATTGTGGGTGGATGTGCTCATGATGGCTCTCATGTTGGTGGGTTATCGACTAGTTGCTTATTTAGCACTACGTAGGGTGAGGTAGAACAAAAGTTATGAACATGCCTTCTCTCCCATAGTTTTTGTCCTTCAATATAATTAAGGTCTGATCATCGCCGATGATAGAGTTTTAGACCCTCGATGTAGCTCATGGAATGGAATTTGATCCACGAGTTGGATGCATCACCCTGTGTAACAGCAGTATAATTTGTAATATATGGGATAGTAAGGTAAAATTTGTAACTTAGTTTGGTTTTGTTCTCATTTTTTTTAAATTTATCAATCAACTTTTAAAATTATTCTTTAAAATAAAAAATATTTTTGATTATATTAATTTGAATATAATTTTAGAGTTAAAATGATAGTGGTGGTTTGCAGTGTGATTAATGGTGAAAACTTATAATAATTAATAATAGTTATCATATTTAAAGATAATTTATAATAGTCAAATGTATTATGCTTTAGAAATAAAAAAGTGAAAAATAATTAAAAAACGTTTCTATTTTTTTATTTTAAAAAACATTTAAATCCAATATTTATGAAAATTTTTTAAATTTTTAATTAAAAATTTTAAAAACAAAAATCAAACATGTTGTCATAAAGACAAGCAACAATTTTATAATATGCGTAGAATTGTGAACGACAGTATCTTAAATAATATTACCTCTAATAAGAGAATATATAATATCAATTAAACAAAAATTATAATATGAGTATATATAACAATATTTTTATAGTTAGATCCGTCCACGGAAAATTGTTTCAAGATTTAGTCATTTGATTATAGTCGAAGTGTAATCAAATGATCATAATTTTGTGAACATATTCTTATTTCATATAAATAAAACAAATTTTAATAGTTTGAATTTTGACTACTTTTTATTAAAGTTTTAAAAACTAGGCTAGTCATTAAACCAAACTAGCCACAAGTTCATGATTTATTGGTTCAACCATGATCGAACTGTGGTTGAATCGGTTGACATTTAATTAATATATTTTTAATTTATGTATCATAATTAAATAAAAAAATATATGCAAACATTTATATTTTTCAAAAAAATATTAATAAATGCTTGGTAAAATAATATATTATTGATGAATACATGATTAATATTAATTATTTTTTGTTGTTCTTTGTTTGAATTAATTTTTAAAATTTTTTAAATAATTCAAAGTGATTTTTAAGGAAACTGATCCAGTTTACAATCGATTTTTCTGATCATTAATCAGTTTTCTTGTGGTTGATTTTAAGGGGTCGACTGAATTGAATTAAAAATTAATTTTTTATTTAACTGGTTGAACTGATTGATTTAGTTTAATTTTTAAAATATTACTTTTTATCCATTTTATTGTCGGTTTTGGTTTTTTTGACCTCAAGCTTCAAAATAAGAAGACCTACTTATAGGGCAAGTGGCTTTTTGCACAAGGAAACCACAGATTTGTTGATTTGTTGGTGCGCGGGTAACTTTAAGCAATAGAGAGGGATCTGTCGGAACAAGAATATATTGGGAACGGAATAACAAGGAGACCAGACCACGGCGTAAGAGACAAAACTCGTTAACTAAGTTTGGATCGCTTAATTTAAACTTGAACATACTTCATTAAAATTAAGGATGAGTAAATAAATTACTTCCTAAATTTTAAGTCCAGTAATATCATCAATTATGAATTTATTTATTATGTAAATTATTTTCTTAATTTTTAAAATAATTTGTTAATAAAGATTAAATTTAATTGTTGGTAGATTATAACATGATAGAAAATAACTTTAAAAAATTACAGACCAAATTTTTTTGATCTTTTTCTGCAATTTTTTGTGCACTTGTATGTAATTTTTGAGATTTTTTTTGTCATTTTAGGTTTAACTAACAATTAAAGTTAACTTTTGTTAATAATAAAAATTAAATTATACTTTTTTCAAAGGTTGAGAAAATAATTTATATAATAAATGAATTCATAATCTATAGTGTTACTGAATTTAAAGTTTAAGAAGTAATTTACTTATTTATTTTAAATTCAACAACACTCAAATTTAAATAGTGCTACATATCAGATAATTATTATATACAAAATGTTAAACATATGGGGTTAATTAAGGAATATTCAAACAAATCAAATGAGGAATTGCAATGAACATTATGCGAAAGGGAAAGAAAGGAGTAACGATAATAGAAGAAGGTGAACTCTTTAATAAAGATGTCATACACATTACTTAATTTTATAACTCTAATAAGCTACATTATTTTGTTGTTTCTGTGGGTATTAAGCCACATCATCTTGAGGGACCAACTTAGTAAAGGTTGTTTAAATTAACAGGAATTAGGGCCAATGAGCTTGTTTGGTTTCTGTTTATAAACGATTAAAAAAAATTAAAAATTAAAGTTAAAAAAATTTAAAAATTTAAAATTAAAAAAATTATTTAAATAAATGTTACAAATTTAATTGTTTTTTTAAATAAAGGAAACATCTTAAATTTGTTTTGTTTTATTTTCAAAACACACTACAGTTGATTATTAATAAATGTAGTCAGATTCATTAATTTCTATAACAAATTATCACTATTAATTACATGCAACTATCATTATTAGTCTATTTTAAAATTTTAATTTTTTTTGTAAATTAATATAACAAAATAAATTTTTATTTTATTTTATTTTAAAAAATAATTCTGAGAATTATATTACCATACGGCCATAGACTTGTTTTCTTGTTTCCAAAATTTCTTTGGTCTCGACCCAATGACTACAAGGCGGACCCGGCGCCCACCATAATCGGACAAGACCAATATGATGAAAACGGGTCAGATTGACCCGGAAAGCATCCAACCGTGAACCGTCCATCCTTTCCAAGGTCATCTTGATCCATTCAATCTTTGGCCTCTTCATCCCCTGCGTTTGGTGGCGACAATTCCGATCCTTCGATCCGGCTGCCGCCGGTGGCCATTTCCAGAAATCCGATCATCCTTCCTATTTGCAATCCTCTAGCCCTTGCGTTGCAATTCGTCTCTCGCAAACTGCTTTGTTACGTTACCGCCCTTCCTAGGGTTTCTGGGGAGACATGACTTTTTCAGACGAAGAGGATGAAAACCTGGCTCACTTTCTGGAATCCGAGGTTCTCTCCCAGATATCTGATCAGGTGCACTGATTACTTATTACTTTTAATTTGAAATTAAAATTTGACCTGGATAGACGATAGATTAGGGGTTTAAATTAGTCTTCTTTGGTGTAGAAAAAAAATTTTTTCCCCTCGTAATTGTAGTCGAAATTAATCCACGGTGATGTGGAAGGAAAATTGTTCGGTAAATAATATGATTGATTGTTCTTGGCAGGAAGAGGAAAGTTTGGAGGAGCCCAAAGCAAAGAGAAAGCGAGTGGAGGGGGCTGAGATTACTAAGGAAGAAGCTAAACAAAATTCTAGTCCATTGTTGAAACCTAAGAGCGATAATACCAGTAAAAGCGTAGCGCCTAAGACTATTGAAACTGGATTATTCAGCAAAATCCCACCTGAACTTTTTCATCATATCCTTAAATTTCTTTCCTCCGAGGTATTTTTTATGTAAAAACATGACTCTTTATATGCTTAGTACATGGATCGTTTGCCTCGTTATATAACTTAGCTGACATTAGTTTGTTTCCGTGCTTGCAGGACCTTGTTTCTTGTGGATTAGTCTGTAAATTTCTAAATTATGCTGCATCTGATGAAGCATTATGGCGTCGCTTGTAAGTATATTGCTATGCTTTAGTTGGTATCTGTCCAAACGTTTGAGTTGTTAGTTGGGTCCTTATAACCCTAGTGAACCGATTTTAATCATATATTTGATACTCTAGTTCACCATGGATGTCATACATTTTCTTAGTTTTGGGAAATACGTGCATAGTTACATTCGTATGAACCATATTTATGCCTATTGTCTACTTAAAATTGTTACATTTGTTCAGGTACTGTATGCGGTGGGGTCTTCTTCCCCCTACAAGGAAGTTAAGGCAATGCCCATGGAAAAAGTTATACATTCAGGTACTTGAATCAATAATAACATCACGTAGCAAATCAACAATCCCTGAAAACAATCTCTGTTTCCCTTTCTAGTTTACCTGCTGTCATAACAGTGTGAATATTATTGCAGCATGCACCAACAGACAAAAGTCATGCTCTAGCTAGTATACGAGAGTGCATATCGTGATTCTCCAGTTTATAAATTTCTGCATGCATTGCATAATATATTTGGGGCCATTATCCTGACAATAAGGAGCCAATCTAGTGTGTGACTGGGTATGCATCGATTATTCATCTTTGTGCACTTATCCATTTATTGATGCACTGGAGTTGATCAATTTGAAGGCATTACTTTAAATAAATATGGAACGACCTGATTAACCATATTTTGTCTTTGTTCTCTTGGAAACTGATATTTGAGTAACTCATACATCTGTTTTTTTTTTTTTTTTTTAATTGTGTGTGAATCTTGTCATTTATCCTACTTTTATGCAGCGTGATGAAGAGGACATGGTTGAGCTTGTAAGAAACTGCTCAAATGAATTTAAAGAGTATTACATTCAAATGCAAGCAGCTAAACGAAGCCAAGCACCTCTTCCTTCACAGGTAAGGAGAGTATGTGCTGTGACGTGTTACAATATGGATTTTATGCTCTGACGTGTTATAACCATTGCTGTTATTAGTACTGCGTTGTATAGTTTTAAGATTCTTTCAGTAATCTAGAGAATAATATTGAAAAGGAATAGAAGAAAAAGTTATGACTATTGTGCTTTTTCATCTCTGAGTTCTGTTCGGTACCGGTGTCCTTGAAGTTTTAAGGAAATGAAAATTGAGGAGGGAGTGAGGGAGATCTAGAGTCAATATTCTGATGCTTATTCACCTTTATTTTTGTTGTTTATCTGAAATAGATGCTTGTTGAGACAGAACATTGCATTTTGAAAACATAAAAGTATGTTTAGTTTGAGAAAAAGTTTTTAATTTTCAATCTAAAAAAAAGTTTCCATTTAAAATTTTTCAAATTTTTAAGGACAGCAATATCTTTTGTTAATGCAACTGACTTAAATAAGCCTCAAGCCCTGGCCTCCTGCAAAAATGGTTAAACATGAAGTTTTTATATTCCCAGCAATTGATAAGTTTTTGGTCCACACGACTATTTGCTTGTTTGTAGAAATGATTCACAAAACTGCTGAAGGATGTTCGGAGACCTCTTCAACACTTCTAGCAAGTTTGTATCTCTAACAAGGTTGGGTCAAACCATACCTTTATTTTTGTATACCTCACAATGATTGAGTTATGTGGAGGTTTATAAATCTCACTGAATATTACAAAAATGCCACCGGTTTTGTATCAAAAACATGGGAAACATCTTTTTGTTGTCTTTTGGAGCGTGCTAATTTGCTGAAAATATTTTAAGGTTTTGTTCCCTCTTTCAATTTCATAAAAGCGTGTAAGTATTTTGTATTTAAAAATATGTTTGTTTTGCAAAGTAATAAGATGTGTTCATCTTGGTTTGCAAATCGTACTGACTTATCATATTCTGAATCTTACCCTGACCAATAGTAAATGGTAATACCTGAGGAAAAGAGTAAAATTGTTTAGATTCAATCTGATCAGATCATCAGTCTTGCACATTTATATCTTAAATCTTTTCTGTTTTGTTTAATTACTTTATGCTTTCATACAAGGGACATTGCTTAACCATGTTTGTTGATTTTCTGTTTCATATTTAAAGTTGAAAGATGATGGGATGATTCTTGACAAAACAGTAGCTGATCAAGTTTCATCATGGAAAAGAAGCAGAGGCCTTAGTGATACCGTGGTGACTGATCATGCTTGCTCCGGGGAAACATGCTCTTACTATCACATAGGAGATGTATTTATTTGTGAGAAGACTGGACATGTTCATGGTAGGACACCTGTCATGTCTTTTTGTTTTTTAATTATGCAAAACAGTTTTTCATTATTTTTATTTAAAAATGGTTGTTGCTGGATTAGAACTTAATAATTTGTTTCTTTCCCCAGTATGTGATGATACATGTAGAGAAGTTATTATGGATCCAGCCAATGAGCTTTTGGTCTGTACAATCTCGGGGCACTGTTATGATAGATTACTGTCACCATCCGAAATGGAACCTGATGCTGTAAGCCTGATGATATATGTCTGGACTACGTTTTTGCATCACATTCCTTGTAATTTGTAGTTTATCCATCCACATAAATCATATTGAGGTGGCCTTTGTCTTTACTGTCATTGTGTCAAGTGGAATGAACTGGCTACAGAATCCAATGAGTTATGCAACCTCATTTACTTCTGGGGGTTATTTTCATTTTCGTCATGAAGAAGGCAAGGAATAGATTGAAGCTTTTATTAGAAGTTTACTGAGTTAACTCACCATATCAAACTTAATTATAGAAAGAAACTCTTTATTGAAATACAGCTTTTAGGCCTAATACTTAGTCTTGTTCATTTGGAAACTCAGGAGCAGCAACAAGGAGGTGTGACTGATGAGGCAGAACCGTTTATGGGATCTGGTCGTTTTGGTAAACTCATCTCTTTGACATTAGTTCTTTCACTAGTCTCCTGGGTCGTTCTTTACCTGCAACTCATTGTGATGTGTGTTTTCTATACAGCGCGAGCTTATTTGCTGGGATACAATTGTGCTGATGAGAAGGAGCTTGAAGCTACTTTGAGGTTTTGCTGATTCCCATATGGATCTGCTTTGTGGCGGAGGATTTATCATTGGCATTTTTTAAATGGTCAAAATTATTGATGTGCTTACCTATTTTAATTATTACATATATCTGTGCTTTTCTGTGTTCTGATGGTGACGTATCATTATGAAATTTCACCTAGCATATGAATTTATGATTAGGCTTGTAAAACTTGGCATGTGTTATTCCTTGTTAATCATGTACAGTTGAATCCATTACAGACGCTTTCTCCCCCAATTATTGCTTGCTATTGTTAGGAAGAGAAAGAGGAATAGTGCAATTTGGTCTGGGCTAATCTGGGATGCTACTTTTTTTTGCTTGAAAACTGATAAGTGAAGTGGGCATATAAAAGAAGAAAAATATTTAGCTTGAAGTTGGATTTGGTATGATAGAAAAAGGGGGCTGTGGAAAAGAGTGGAGGGAGAGGGAATGACTGTCTGACCTGATTGGAATTGCATGCTTCTATTTCTAATGGAATGGAACATCTCTGACCTGATCTGCGCTGGTAATACATCATATATTTCCAAGTGTCATTTCACATATTTATTTATTTTCTTCTTACTTTTTTGATTATATTTGGAAGATTTGAAATTTTGAACTTATACTTCGTCTTATCCTTATCTCATGAAATAGCCTTGTGTGGCTATATTTTCTCAGTACTTCGTTTAGATGTACATGGACATTTGCTTATCTGTATATCCATATATAATAACGGATTCAACACCTTCATGAGTCACTACATGGCATGACTTTCTACTATTATAGATTCCAAAGAATCTCCAAACCGCTATGCCCCGTTTTAGAAAATTAAGACAATCAAGAGCTACTTTCCATTCTTTTTTTAAACATATATGAGTCATCTCCATATTCTCTCCCAACGTGAAGCAATGTGCTCACTTTTTGAAAATAAAGAAATCTGCTAACCGTTTTGCCCAGCGCCCTCTAGCGACTTAGGGTCTGTTCCAATTTTTGGGAAATACTTTTCCGCTTCCTGGATGTGCGATGTTGTTAGGGTGTTTCAAAACTGAGCAAACTAACTTTTGGATTAGCCGATTAGCCCTTGAATGTGGATTCACCAAAAGCTATTGGGGGAAGCTTTTGAGTTTGAAATTGAAAGTGGATGTTGGGTGTTTGATAGGGAAAATAAATATGTACTTAATTTTATATTGATCATTTTACCTTTTACAACCGTGAATGTGGATCTTTTCTCATGTTGGTTTGTCTGCCTATCGGAGAGCAGCTTCTCCTTCATCCACATGGAGAAGAGTATTTTGTCTTCGCGTCTATTTTTTATAGTTTTATATTTGCTTACATATTTATCTGCATCTTTATCTATGCTCGTCCTTTTATTTCTATATCTATATTTGTATAAATTGTCACCAATAAAAAATCTACACAAATTTTATCAAACAGTCCTTTTGTGTATTTGACTTCTAAATAGAACACTAATTTGTGCTATTCATTTAAATATCAAATTATACGTTATAGAATAAATAATTAATTATGTTAATTTTTAGTATTAATGTATTTTGACCAATTTAACACATCAAATTTTATATTTTTTATTCTCATTATTTATTCTGTCAAATTTTATGTTATTTAAAATTTTTATCACATTTTTAATTATTTGTAATATATTATATTTGTATAACAAAAATTAATAGTCATTATATATCAATGTTTTTATTTAATTATAAATTTAAAAGCACATTTAAATATATATATATATATATATGTATATATAATTCAAACAATTTTTAATTTACTAAACTAATTTAAAAAAAATGTATTCAAATATAAATTTCATTATAATAATTAATTTTTATTAAATTAATTTTTGTTAAATAAACTTTTGATAAATTGACTTTTAGTCATGGGAAAACCAAGTAGAAACTTAATCCCCTAGCCAGTTCTTTTATTTGGCTTTGACACTCCATGCACTTTAAAATGCAATCTAGATAGTAAGTGTTAGTTTTAAGGGAAAATGGTAATAAAATATCTCCAAAATATACAAATGATAAGTAGGTACCATGAAATATGATAATTATTATCCAGCCTTTGGGGACTTGTCTGGCATTTTAGTTTTTAGTAGAATGACATATCTACCCTTTTTTTTTGGATGAAAAGTGATTCATTAATACTAAAAGGTTACACTTCATAATACATTGAAGTTAACAAAATTAATGTTCACATCCCAATCTCTTCCCAAAATTAATCTAGCTTCTTATATGATGTCTTCAAAAGGGTGGTTTTGAATGGATTCCCTCATAATCAAGCTCATGGCATTGGCATAGTCAGATATAACATTCACCTTTTTGATCGTAAGCCTTTAGCAGTACATTAAACCTATGGTAATACCTTTTACCTTGAAAATAATAGATGGCATAAGCTCAACTTTGGCACAGAATCCTAAGATCCATCTATTATCTTAATGTCTAATGATTCCTCTAAAGCGAAGCAATCAGCATTTGGTTGGTTTTGGTGGTCATTTAGGGTTCTGCCCCGTCCTTTCCTATTGAAATTTTGCTTTATCTTGAAGTCTTCAAGGGCCTTGAAATACACATTAAAAGGGTTTCCAAAACAAAACTCCTCTTCCTCTCTAAACACTTTCCTACACCTACTAACCCATATATCCCAACATACATAAGAAAAAATAGAACTCCATGGGATATTTTTGATGGTAGTTCTCCTCAATTCCTTGCAAAGGTTCCATTCAACTCATTCTTGATTCTCAAAGTTACAAAACTCTCCTTAAAATTCAGGTAAGACTAAATCCAACCACTTATCTCTAGCATGATTACAATCACGAAGAAGGTGCATCAAATTTTCGTAACTGTTGTAGCCAAAGTAGCAGTTACTCTCTTCTTGAATTCATCTACTCTTGCATATCTCGAGTGTATGAACTATAGCGTGAGCAATAAGCCATAAAAAAGATTTCCTTTTTTTTTCAAGATCTTCGCATTCCAAATACTCTACCAAGGAGTGTTGTCTCTATCTTATGTACCTACAGAAAGAAACAAGAAAGCAGATTTAACAATAAACATTCCATCTAGTGAAGGGTTCTAAATTATGCGATATGTTTCACTCCTCTCAATGTGTATATTAGTGCAAGCTATGGTGTCAATAACGGACAAATCAAACCATAACCCCAATTTTCAGGTGTCCCATGATCCATTAGGTTCGATGTACTCAAACACTCTTTCTTTTCTTTTTTTTTTTTAATATCACTCAAACACTCTTTCTCCTATGTTTTAAATCAACATATTTTCCTTGTTCACTTTAACTAACAGTTTGCCCAAGCTTGTCCATTTGTCTTTCCAAAAGAATGTATGTTGCCCTCCAGTGATTCTTCTTCCTAACCCATCTTTAAAGGTATTTTAGATATTAATAATTCTGTGCCAAATTGATGAAGCATTTCTCTTACGTATGATTAACCTTTGGTAATTGGTTCATCCACATTTGTACTTCAATCTTAGCATCTATACCCAAAAGGCTTGCCTTTTCTTTACCAAATTTCAACATAACTTCATGTTAAACGCTTGATTCTGTAAACGGAGATCTTTGATACCCAAACCTCCTTCTTTTTTACTTTTTGTGACCTCTTTCCAAGATACTAGATGAAGTTTTTTTTTTGTCTTCATCATTCTCCCAAAAGAAATTTCTATTAGTTTTCTCAATCTCTTTTAATATCGCAACTGGGAGCAACATTGTCTCCATATAATAGCTCGGGAGAGCCGAAATAATAGGCTTAATAAGGGTGGTTTTACTTGCCATGTTAAGGAATTTACCTTTCTAGCCAACCATCCTCTTATGAGGAGCCTAACAAAGGCTACCTCATTCATTTGTGATCCGCGATTCCCTAAATATTAACAATCATAAGATGGCATAATCCTAATCGAGCCTCCTCATGAATTAATAGAAACTAGTTAGGCTTGAGTCTTCAAAGGACAAGTAGGATAGTCCCTTATTAATCATGTGACAATGACTATCTCCCGATTTCAATGGTTGGCAGTCTGGCTAACTTTTGATTCTAGTGGTAAGCCGTCAATATCACGTGGGTTTTAGCATTATTCTTCTTCTTAGGCAAACTCTCATCATAAATGATCATGCCATGCACACATTGACACAATATACAAAACTAATGACAACTATCAAATCATATCATTCTTACCATAAATTATTTCCATCATACTCCACACATCTTAGCAAGCACGATGTCTTGTATTATCCATGTTCAAGTGCATATCTATGCTTACTCAAGCCTCAAACATACAGGTTTAACATACATTTCATATTCATGTTTTCAAGCATTTTTCACCCATCACATAACATGTCAAAATTTGCATCAATGAGTTTACAAACACTCAATAAGTTTCAAACAATTTAGTTCAACAAATAATTAATTAACAAATAATTATATAAGTTAAATTTTTCTCTGGTTACCTCAAATTGTGTCAAAGATTTACCCCTAAATTACCAACATTTCTAAGGCTCTAATTAGCTTGAATGGTACCAAGTTTTGTTAATGTACAATTTAACCACAAAGATAATCATTAATATTTGCATTTGGATAAATTTCAACACTTCAACCCCATATTCCAAACTTATGAAAATCATGAATTCACTTTCACACATACCTATTGGATTTACTAAATTCTCTTAACTTACATTATCATTAAGGAGTCATTAAATCATCATTAAGGACCATTAACACTCCCAACAACCCTCATTATGATCCAAATTTGGCCATTATTGACTCCAACAACCAAAGGGTGTGTAAAATTATAATTACTAGGTTTAAATAGTTTAAATAACTCCTATTAGCTCTACTTTAATCAATGGGTTTAGACCTATAGTCATTATAGACCGAAAATCATCATCTCAACATAAATACTAACTCAAACCTTTGAGAAAATAAAACAGAAAGGGAAGATAAGGGTTTAGAAGTCTTATCTTTGATGGTTAATAGCTAGAAATACTCCCAAGCTTCTAATTTGGTAAGCTTTAATAGAAAAAACCTCAAGTCCTTCTTTTTCTCCCTTTTTCTTCTCTTTTGGTTTTTGGAATAGACATAGGTTCACTTTAGCAAAAATTTAACCATGCACAGAGATGCATGGCATAAGGAGGTTCTTCCTAGGGGCAAGCAAAATCAAATTGAAATTGAAAATCGAGCCGAATCGAATTAAATTTTGTCTATTTGATTCGATCTATTTATTTTTCGGTTCGATTTGGTTTTT